TAAAGGTGATACATAAGAAACACAATATAGTGCGAAAATAATGCCACGAAAAAAGGGACAAATACACGTGACGCATGATGGTGGAGCTCAGTGCAGGTTGAGAGTCAGAGGAGGAAGGATGCACGCAGATTAGTTCTGGTCCAAAAGTGATCTAGCTTATGGAATATTTTGTGTGTCGTTCTTAGTTTTTAGATATGCCTCGTCCACTGATCTTAAAGTGCGAAAATGTCCTTTTTTACAGTGACTATATTATCTTTAAGTATAATAACCACAAGTGATCAAATAGTACTTTAATTAAAACATTTTCTTCATGATGAGAGATTAGAAATATATATATATTTTTTGCCTATGCAAATATTTAACTAAATTATTAATGGAAGTATTATCCTAAATTATTCATGGAAATATTCTTCTTGAATGTGATCAGTTTAATATAATATGAATTAACGACTAAATTGATAAATTAAATAAAGAATAAGTAGACAGATTTAAACATTTACAAGATGCTCATAATTCAATAATTCAATAAAAACATTTTGTCGCATTTAAAATAATTTAATAAATCGTTTCACACTTAAAATACAAAACAATACAAGAAATAAAAGTAAATGAAGTGGTATTTTTCCGTGTCTTGTTTATAATGAAAACAATGAGCAGTGCATTATTTTGATTTCATACTTGGTCGCTGTTGGTTTAGATTAATTGCGTATTGTATAATGTGTGTTAGCATTAAGGAGATGGCTGAGTACAATAACAGACTCTCTCTCTCTATCTATCTATCTATCTATCTATCTATCTCTATCTCTATCTCTATCTCTATCTCTCGCTCTCGCTCTCTCTCTCTCTCTCTCTCTCTCTCTCTCTCTCTCTCTCTCTCTCTCTCTCCTCTCTCTCTCTCTCTCTCTCTCTCTCTCTCTCTCTCTCTCTCTCTCTCTCTCTCTCTCTCTCTCTCTCTCTCTCTCTCTCTCTCTCTCTCTCTCTCTCCTCTCTCTCTCTCTCTCTCTCTCTCTCTCTCTCTCTCTCTCTCTCTCTCTCTCTCTCTCTCTCTCTCTCTCTCTCTCTCTCTCTCTCTCTCTCTCTCTCTCTCTCTCTCTCTCTCTCTCTCTCTCTCTCTCTCTCTCTCTCTCTCTCTCTCTCTCTCTCTCTCTCTCTCTCTCTCTCTCTCTCTCTCTCTCTCTCTCTCTCTCTCTCTCTCTCTCTCTCTCTCTCTCTCTCTCTCTCTCTCTCTCTCTCTCTCTCTCTCTCTCTCTCTCTCTCTCTCTCTCTCTCTCTCTCTCCTCTCTTCTCTCTCTCTCTCTCTCTCTCTCTCTCTCTCTCTCTCTCTCTCTCTCTCTCTCTCTCTCTCTCTCTCTCTCTCCTCTCTCTCTCTCTCTCTCTCTCTCTCTCTCTCTCTCTCTCTCTCTCTCTCTCTCTCTCTCTCTCTCTCTCTCTCTCTCTCTCTCTCTCTCTCTCTCTCTCTCTCTCTCTCTCTCTCTCTCTCTCTCTCTCTCTCTCTCTCTCTCTCTCTCTCTCTCTCTCCTCTCTCTCTCTCTCTCTCTCTCTCTCTCTCTCTCTCTCTCTCTCTCTCTCTCTCTCTCTCTCTCTCTCTCTCTCTCTCTCTCTCTCTCTCTCTCTCTCTCTCTCTCTCTCTCTCTCTCTCTCTCTCTCTCTCTCTCTCTCTCTCTCTCTCTCTCTCTCTCTCTCTTTCTCTCTCTCTCTTTCTCTCTCTCTCTCTCTCTCTCTCGCTCTCGCTCTCTCACACAACCTCATACAAAGACACACACAGACACATTCTCACGCCCAGAGACACACGCACACAACCCACATCCCTTACACAGACTACACAATCACCCCATTTTCCCTGAGCGTTAATAACAGTATCTTCGTGCACATTTCAGAACATTTCGTAATTATAAAATATCAGCGATTGTTAAGAAATGAGATTTAGGGTTAAATCTTTCCAAGTAAAATGACCCTTAATGACATGTTTTGATATCAAAGGTCACGATGATTCATGATTTCATCTTCACAGTTGTCACGAGTTAGAATTTTGTTTTTAAGGGAATAATAATTGAGTAATTTATAGTAACTGAAATATCAAAAAGATTATTGTGTGGTTTTTTTATTAAGACGCTCTGGAAGAAGAAAAAAAACTGTTACATTTTTTTTTTTTTTCAAATGTCTGAGGAATTTCCTTTTTCATTTTTTTATTATGGTGAAGATAGCGTATTTCTCCTTCTATATAAGTCGCTTGCTTAATTGTGGTAATTAACATTCATTAGATAATTTTGCACATGTCATTTCTTTGAGATGGTACACTGATTGATGTTGTTATTATGCAAATTCAGATACAATGGACTCTTTCTCTCTCCCTTTCTCTCTTCTCTCCCTTTTCATGTCTCGTTTTCTTTGTCACTGCTTTTCGTTTTCTTTTCTTGTTTCAGTCTCTTTCTCTGCCTTTTATCTCTCATTTCTCTGCATCTCCACTTTCTCTATTATTATACAACTATCTTTGCTTTATATATTCCTCTCTATCTCGTCCTTTCCTTCTTTCTTCTTATTTTTTTCTTTGCTTCTCTTTCTGTCTGTTACTTTACCTTCCTTACACCCTAATTCTCATTCTCTTTACCTCTTCCCTTCACTATCTCTTACTTAATTTAACCTTTCTATCTCTCATTCTTATCATCCCTTTCCCTCCCTATCCCTCTCCCTCTTTTAATCTCATTCTCTCGTTCTCTGTCTCTACTTTACTCTCAATATTTTATTTACTTCTTCCCTTCATTATATCTCTATATCTTTTAACTTCTCTATTTCTTATTTTCGTTACTTCTTACCCTCACGATCTCTTTATTTTTTCTCAACCTCCCTATCTCTCATTCGCTTATCCTTTCTATCTCTCTATCTCTCAACCTCACTTTCTCTCGTTCTCTTAATCTCTCTATCTCTCATTTTCTTTCTCTCTTTCGCCCATTCTCTCAATCTCTCTATCTCTCATTCTCTCAATCTCTCTATCTCTCATTCTCTCAATCTCTCTATCTCTTATTATTATCTCTCATTTTATTAGCCTCTCTATCTCTCATTCTCCTAACCTCTCTATTTCTTATTCTCTCAACTTCTCTATCTCTCATTGTCTATCTATCTATCTCTCATTCTCTTAACCTCTCTATCTCTCATTGTCTTTCTCTCTATCACTCATTCTCTTAATCTCTCTATCTCTCATTTTCTTAACCTCTCTATCTCTCATTCTCTTAACCTCTCTGTCTCTTATTCTCTTACCCTCTCTATCTCTCATTGTCTTTCTCTCTATCTCTCATTCTCTTAATCTCTCTATCTCTCACGATCTCTCTCTACCTCTATTAACCTCCCCATCTCTCATTCTCTTTCTCTCTCATTCTCTCTTTTTCTTTCCAGATGTTATTTTGGATCAACTGCCTCATGAACACCTTCTTAGTCTTCGTGTACTTCGGGCAGTTCTTCATGACCCTGACCCCGCCTCACTGGTGCGCCCCCCCGCCTGACCTCGCCCGGCTCAACCTGACCTCGGAGCAGGTCAAGAGACTGACCATCCCGAGGGATCCGCACTCGGGGAAGTACCTGGAGTGCGTCAGGTACCAGGTGGATTTCGGCCAGGTGAGGAGGGAGGGGGGGGGGGGGGAGTGGGCGCGGGAGGAGGAAGAGGGGGAGGGTAAACGTGGATTCAAGTACCAGGTGGATTTCGGCCAGGTGAGGAGGGGGGAGGGGAGGGAGGGGAGGGGGTAGGGTGTGTGTGGATTCAGGTACCAGGTGGATTTCGGCCAGGTGAGAAGGGAGGAGGGGGGGAGGGGGGAGGGTGTGTGTGGATTCAGGTACCAGGTGGATTTCGGCCAGGTGAGGAGGGAGGAGGGGGGGAGGGGGGAGGGTGTGTGTGGATTCAGGTACCAGGTGGATTTCGGCCAGGTGAGGAGAGGGAGGGGTAGGGGGGTTGCTATTGTTTATTGTCATTATTATTATTATTATTATTATTATTATTATTATTATTATATTATTATTATTATTATTGTTGTTGTTATTGTTGTTATTACTATTGTTAATATTATTAATATTATTATTAGTAGTATCAATATTATTGTTATTATTATCATTAAATCTACATTATCATTACCATTATTGCTATTATTGTTATTATTGCTATTATCATTACCATTATGATCATTATTAGTGTTGTCACAATGACAACGATAATAACAATAATAATAACAACTGCACCAATTAAAAAAAAATCTTAATAGTACCCACCAACAGACATGAAAACAAACAAACAAATACAAAAAAACAACAATCAATTCTACCACTGTACTTTTATTTCATTTATTCACAGGTGGTTCAGAGCAATGCCAGCTGGCCCGACCCCAGCTGGCCTACCACCAACTGCACTTATGGGTGGACTTATGAATACTCACTCTATTACCCAACCATTACTTCAGAGGTATGGTAACTTGATGAGTAAGTTGGAAGTATGGTAGCTTAGGTGATGAGTAAGTTAGAGGTATGGTAACTTGGTTGCTAAGTTAGGGGTATGGTAGCTTAGTTTATGAGTAAGTTGGAGGTATGGTAACTTAGGTGATGAGTAAGTTAGAAGTATGGTAACTTGATGACTAAGTTAGGGGTATGGTAGCTTAATCTATGGGTAAGCTGGATGTATGGTAACTTGATGAGTAAGTTAGATCTATGGTGACTCGATGAGTAAGTTAGAGGTATGGTAACTTAGCCGATGAGTAAGTTGCAGGTATGGTAACTTGATGAGTAAGTTAGAGGTATGGAATCTTGGCTGGTGAGTAAGTTGGAGGTATGGTCATTTGATTACTAAGTTAGGGGTATGGTAGCTTAATTCATAGGTAAGTTAGAGGTATAGTAACTTAGGTGATGAGTACGTTGGAGGTATGGTTAGTTAGGGGTATGGTAGCCTAACTTATGGGTAAATTCGAGGTATGGCAGCAAGTTAAGTTAGGGGAATGGTAACTTAATGTATGAGTGAGTTAGAGGTATGGTAACTTAATGACTAAGCTAGAGGTATGGTAGCCTAGTTGCTTATCAAGTTATTAAGTTCTATATAGTTATCCCCCGAGCATTGCAACTTACTCTTTGGGATGTATTGATTGTATCGATTTGCATGTTGCATCATTGAGAAGGATATTGACTCTCCTCTTTGCTACGCGGGGCTCGGGAAAGGTCGTTTGAGTGGTTGTTAAGAGTGGTTGTGGTTGTGGTTATTTTTTGTGGTAGGGAGAGAGGTTGGTTTTGGTATAGAGGTACTTGTCGGTTTGTCACGGTGGAGATAGGAGTGATGTGGTCCGTAGTGGTTATAATTGTGGTTGTTGATGTGGTAGCGATAGTAGGTATTTTAGATGGGGTTGTCGGAGGTTAAAAGTTGTGTTTAGGACCATTACTGTAGTAGTAGTTGTAGTAGTAGTTGTAGTTGTAGTAGTAGTTGCAGTAGTAGTAGTAGTAGTACCAGTGGTAGTAATAGGTATAGTTCCAACTATAATTGTGTTACTAGTAATAGATGGAGTTATAGCAATGAACGTGATAGTATTTGTCGTTGTTATTATGGTTAATGGTAGTTGCAGGTATAGTAATGGTAGTAGCAGTGACATATATCTATGAAAATCGACGATGTAGTAAATTGTTAATGTTGGAGCCTGGATCATATATTTGAAAGGTTATTAAAATGAACTGAAATAAGACGCAATAAATTATATTGAAACATGGATTATATGTTTTGTGGGTTAATTCTATCTTCCTTTTAAAATCCAAAATTCAAAGCAATGTAATAATCTATTTGGAAATTGTAGTTAATGAGTATACGACGCACAATCAACAATATTGAACCAAAGGCTGAATTAATGTCCCGAGAGAGAGGGAGAGAGAGAGAGAGAGAGAGAGAGAGAGAGAGAGAGAGAGAGAGAGAGAGAGAGAGAGAGAGAGAGAGAGAGAGGAGAGAGAGACAGAGGCAGAGAGAGAGAGGCATAAACAGAGTCAGAGAATGAGAGTACGAGAGAGCGAGAAAGAGACCATTCTAAAAACCGAACTAACCCCCCACCCCCACCTTCCCCCCCGCGTCTCAGCTGGACTGGGTGTGCGCCGAGGACTGGAAGCCGACGCTGGCGCAGTCGCTGTTCTTCGTGGGGTCCCTCGTGGGGTCGCCGGTGCTGGGCTGGGCGGCGGACGCGTGGGGTCGCCTGCCGGTCATCGTGGCCACCAACGTGGTGGGCGGGCTAGGGGGCGTGGCCTCCGCCTTCTGCTCCTCCTTCGCCTCCTTCGCCGTCTTCAGGTTCATCGTCGGGATGACCTACGACACGCACTATATGGTCGCCTACATCCTGTGTGAGTCATGGAACCTTCGACCTTATGTTACATTGTACACTTGCCATGGAAATCAGCTGCTTGATTTGGATAAATAGCTGTTTTCACTTGATAATGCAATCCAAGATTAATTTTTAGAAGAAAGAGGCAACAATCTTAGCAAAATAAAAAATGAAAAATGATTGTAATCATTCTAAAACGGAGAATTATCCAATGGAATTTAATTTAGTCACTCAAATAGAAATAATTTAGTCCCCCTCTCTCTAATCCACCAATACGGAACCTTTCTTAAAACCTAACCAACTCACTCATTTTTTATCTCTCCTTCTTCCTCCCAACCCCCACAAACAACAAACAAACAACAACCAACCAACAAACAAACAACAAACAAACAACCAACAAACAAACAAAAACACAGTACTGGAATACGTCTCCAGCAAATACCGAACCATCATGGCCAACGTCCCGATTATGCTGTTCCTCACCGCGGCCATGTGCGCCTTGCCCTGGATAGCTGTCGCCTTAGGTCATTGGACTTTCTTCACCATCGCTATCTACCTCCCACAGCTTTCGTGCATTGCTTTCATATGGTGAGAAGGACGTGGAGTTATTATCTGTTTGTTTTGGGGGCTGTTGGGGGTATATTGAGTATGTGTAGTGAGTGAGTGAAGGTATTTGTGGTTAGGTTTAGGGTGTGGGTTTGTGGGTGTGTGGGTTTGTGTGTGTGTGTGTGTGTGGGTGGGTGGGTGTGTAGATGTGGATATGGGTATAGGTTATTCTGGGATTTGTATGTGTTCTCTTTATCTTTGTTTCTCTCTTCTCTGTTTGGTTCTGATTCTCTCTGACTGGGTCTCTCTCTCTCTCTCTCTATCTATCTCTCTCTCTCTCTCTCTCTCTCTCTCTCTCTCTCTCTCTCTCTCTCTCTCTCTCTCTCTCTCTCTCTCTCTCTCTCTCTCTCTCTCCCTCTCTCTCATTCCTCACCCTCTCTCTCTTTCTCTCTCCCTCTCCCTCTCAATCTCTCCCTCTCAATCTCTCCCTCCCAATCTCTCCCTCTCTCTCTTTCTCTCTCCCCCTCTCCCTCTCAATCTCTCTCCCTCTTCCTCTCAATCCCTTTCTCTCTCATTCCTCACCCTCTCTCTCTTTTTCTCTCTCCCTCTCCCTCTCAATCTCTCCCTCTCTCTCATTCCTCACCCTCTCTCTCTTTCCCTCTCCCTCTCCCTCTCAATCTCCCTCTCAATCCCTCTCTCTCTCATTCCTCACCCTCTCTCTCTTTTTCTCTCTCCCTCTCCCTCTCAATCTCCCCCTCTCTCTCATTCCTCACCCTCTCTCTCTTTCCCTCTCCCTCTCCCTCTCAATCTCCCTCTCAATCCCTCTCTCTCTCATTCCTCACCCTCTCTCTCTTTTTCTCTCTCCCTCTCGCTCTCAATCTCTCCCTCTCTCTCATTCCTCACCCTCTCTCTCTTTCCCTCTCCCTCTCCCTCTCAATCTCCCTCTCAATCCCTCTCTCTCTCATTCCTCACCCCCTCTCTCTCTTTTTCTCTCTCCCTCTCGCTCTCAATCTCTCCCTCTCTCTCATTCCTCACCCTCTCTCTCTTTCTCTCTCCCCCTCTCCCTCTCAATCTCTCTCCTTCTTCCTCTCAATCCCTCTCTCTCTCATTCCTCACCCTCTCTCTCTTTTTCTCTCTCCCTCTCGCTCTCAATCTCTCCCTCTCTCTCATTCCTCACCCTCGCTCTCTTTCTCTCTCCCCCTCTCCCTCTCAATCTCTCCCTCTCTCTCTTTCTCTCTCCCCCTCTCCCTCTCAATCTCTCTCTCTTTCCCTCTCCCTCTCAATCTCTCTCTCTTTCCCTCTCAATCTGTCTCTCTCCCTCTCAATCTCTCTCCCTCTCCCTCTCCCTTTCAATCTCTCCCTCTCTCTCATTCCTCATCCTCTCTCTCTTTCTCTCCCCCCCCCTCTCCCTCTCAATCTCTCCCTCTCTCTCTTTCTCACTCCCCCTCTCCCTCTTTCTCTCTCCCCTCTCCCCTCTCCCTCTCAATCTTTCCCTCTCTCTCTTTCCCTCTCTCTTTCCCTCTCCCTCTCAATCTCTCCCTCTCTCTCTCATTCCTCACCCTCTCTCTCTTTCTCTCTCCCCCTCTCCCTCTCAATCTCTCTCCCTCTCTCTCTCATTCCTCACCCTCTCTCTCTTTCTCTCTCCCCCTCTCCCTCTCAATCTCTCCCTCTCTCCCTCTCCCTCTCCCTCTCCCTCTCAATCTCCCTCTCTCTCACCCCCCACCCTCCACAGGATCGTCCCCGAGTCCGCGAGATGGCTGCTGAGTCAGGGCCGAGTCGAAGACGCCATTGCCATCCTCAAGAAAGCCGGAAAGATTAACAAGAAGCCGCTTTCGGACGAGGTCGTGGAGGAGTTCAAGGTAAGGGGGGGGGGAGGCAGATAGGTAAACAATAAATAAATAAATGAATGAATAAATGACAGCGGAGAAGAACTAGATAAACAGATAGACAAACAGATGAATAGATACACACATAGACAGAGTTCAAGGTAAGGGGGGAGGCAGATAGATAAACAATAAATAAATAATTGAATAGATAAATAACAACAGAGAAAAAGAGATAACTAGATAAGAAGATAGACAGACAAACAGATGAATAGATACACACATAGACAGAGTTCAAGGTAAGGGGGGGAAGACAGAATGGTAAAAAAAAAGAGAGAGAGAGAGAGAAAAAGAGATAAATAGACAAACAGACAGACAGACAAACAGAAGAACATTCACACAGACAGACAGACAAACAGAAGACCATTCACACAGACAGACAGATAAAATCCTTTACCAAGATCTTACAACCCATCTCTCCCCCCCCCCCTCCCCCCCTTAGGCCTACGGATGGAAGCAAGCGGAGAAAGACGAGAAAAAAGTCAACGTCACGGCCCTCCTCAAGACGCCGGTGCTCAGACGCCGCTTCCTCGTGCTCTGCCTCATGTGGTGAGTGGGATGGTGAGGATGATGATTGTGAGGGTGGTGATTGAGAGGATGGTGATTGTGAGGGTGGTGATTGAGAGGATGGTGATTGTGAGGGTGGTAAGGATGATGAGAATGGTGAGGATATTGATTGTGAGGACGGTGAGGGTGGTGAGTGGGATGATGATTGTGAGGAAGATGAGGGTGGTGAGGAAGGTGAGGGTGGTGATTGTGAGGATGGTGAGGGTGGTGATTGTGAGGAAGGTGAGAGTGGTGAGGATGGTGATTGTGAGGAAGGTGAGAGTGGTGATGGTGGTGATTGTGAGGATGATGGGGATGGTGAGGATGGTGAGTGGGATTGTGAGAATGGTGAAAGTGGAGAGGGTGATGATTGTGAGGATTGTGAGAGTTGTTATTTCATGGTGATTTGGTGGTGAGGGTGGTGATTTGATGGTGAACTTGATGAGGGTGGTGATTTGATGGTGAATATGGTGAGGGTGGTGATTTGATGGTGAACATGATGAGGGTGGTGATTTGATGGTGGGTGCGATTGTGCGTATGGTGAAGATTGTAATTTGATAGCGAGGGCAGTGGGTTTCGGTGTGATTGTGAGGATGGTGATTTGAGGGTGAGGTTGAATATAGTGAGGGTGGTGATTCAGTGGTTATGGTGAGTCTGGCGAGGGTGGTGATGTGATGGTGAGGATGATATATGGGGGTGATTTTATAGTGATAATGATGATAGTGACAATGATGTATATGGTAGTGATTTGACAGTGATGCTTTGATAATGATATTTATTATCATTAACATCATTACCAATAAGAATGACTAAAATACCTCCTCCTTCTCCCCCTTCCCCCTCCCCCTCCCCCTTCTCTCTTTCTCTCTCTCTATCTATCTATCTATCTATTTATCTCACCTCTCCCTTACCTCCCTTCTTCCCCTCCCCCCTTCCCCTTCCCCTTCCCCCTAATCCTCCCCTCCTCCTCCTCCCTTCTCCCTCCCCTCTTCCTCCCTCCCCTCCACCCCTCCCTCCCCCCTCCTACTCCCTCTTCTCCTCCCTACCTCCTTCCCTCTCCCTCCCCTCCTCCTCCTCATCCCTCTTCTCCCCTCCCCCTCTCCCTCCCTTTCCCCCATCCCCTTCTCTCCCCCCTTCCCCCTCCCCCCTCCCCCCTCCCCCTCCCAACCCGCCCCAACAGGATGGTCATCATCCTCGCCTACGACGCCCACATGCGCAACACCGAGCACATCGGGACCAACGTCTTCGTCACCTTCACCGTCGCCGGCTTCGTGGAGCTGCCGGCCGACTTCCTGACGATGGTGGCGGTGGAGAAACTCGGACGGAGGCATACGACGGTGTGGACGCTGGTGCTGGGCGGACTGCTGTGCCTGGGGATCGCTGCCGTGCCTCCAGGTAAGGGGTGAGGGGGTGAGGGGGAGGGGAAAGGGGGAGGGGGGAGGGGTAAGGGATGGGTGAGGGGAAGGGGGAGGGGGAGGGGAAGGCGGGGGGGGAGGGGGAAGGGATGGGTGAGGGGAAAGGAGAACGGGGTATGGGAGGGGAAAGGGGGAGGGATGGGTGAGGGGAAAGGGGAAGGGGTGGGTGAGGGTGAGAAATAAGAGGATGAGAGGAAGGGTGGAAAAGGGAGAGGGAAAAGGTTTAGGGGGAAAAAGGGGGAGGAGGGAGAAGAAGGGAAGAGGGAAGGAAGGAAGAGAGAAGGAAGAGGGAAGGAAGGGAGGGAGGTGAAGGGAGACTTTCGGAGATCAGGGATGCTGCTACAACCCCTGCACCAGGTGGTTGTGGGGGGGGGGGGGAGGAAGGACGAGAGAAGGACTGAGAAGGGAGGGAAGGGTTTAGGATGGGAGAGAGGGGGGGAGGGATGGGTGAGAAGAGGGGAGAGGGGAAAAGAGAGGAGGCAGGAGAAGAGGGGTAAGAGTCAAAGAGGGTGAACGATTCTTTTATGTTTAGGGCCTGCTGCTGTTCCCCCGGGTGGGGGTGAGGGGGGAGGGGAGGAGTGGGTAAGGGTGAAAGATGAAGAGCCTTAGGTAGAAAAAAGATGAATAATAATAATAATAATAATAATAATAATAATAATAATAATAATAACATCAATAATAATAATGATAATAATAATGATAATGATGATGATGATGATGATGATGATGATGATAATAAAAGTTTATATACGAAATTTAAGACAGAATAAGGTAAAGGAGAGAAGAGAAAATGAACGAAAATAAGATACCAAGATCTAGATAAAGACATGACAGAGGAGAAAAGAGAAAGGAAAGAGGGGGAGAGATGAAGAAGAGGGAGGAGGGTGGGAGAGGGGAAGAGACACGCCCACTTAGAGGTCTGTGATGGGCGGGTTGTGTGCTCTGACCTTCTTCCAGCCGGGGTTGAGGGGAGGAGGGGCTTGGGGTAAGTGAGGGGTGGGGGCGAGGGGAAAGGGGAGAGGGGAGTTGGGTTGAAAAGTATCAAATATCGCATAATCACTCTTCCTTGTTTACTTTTTCTTCTTCTCCTTTCTTTCGTCGATGCTTCTCCTCCCTTGACCTCTTCCCTTTTTTTCACTTTTTTTTCTGTTTTACATTCTTCTCCTTTTCTTCTTCTTGTTCTTCTTCCTCTTCTTCTTCTATTTCTTCTCTTCTTCTTCTTCATCTTCCTCCTCCTCCTCCTCCTCCAACTCCTTCACATTCTCATTCTCCCCTCTTTCTTCCTCTTCCTCCTTCTTAATTTTGTTTCTCCTCCTCCTCTTCCTTCTTCTTCTTCTTTTTCCTTCTTTATTTTCCTTCTTCCATCTCTTTCTTTTTCTCTTCCTCTCCCTCCTTATCCTCTTATTCCTCCTCCTCCTCTTCTTCCTCCTCCCCCCACCTTATCCTCCTCCTCCTCTTCTTCTTCCTCCTCCTCCCCTTCCTCCTCCTCCTCCTCCTCTTCCTCCTCCCTCCTCCTCTTCCTCCTCTTCTTCTTCCTCCTCCTCCTCCTCTTCTTCCTCCACCTCCCACCCCTCCTCTTCCTCCCCTTCCCCCTCTTCTTTCATCCCCTTCCTCCTCCCCTTCCTCCTCCTCTTCCTCCTCTTCTTCTTCCTCCTCCTCCTCTTCTTCCTCCTCCACCTCCCACCACTCCTCTTCCTCCCCTTCCATCCCCTTCTCCCTCCCCTTCCATCCCTTTCCTCCTCCTCCCTCCCTCCCCTTCCTCCTCCCTCCTCCCTCCTCCCACCCCT